GCATTTTTACATGGAGAATTAGAGGAGGAAATCTATATGACTCAGCCTGAAGGGTTCAAGGTTGCTGGAAAAGAAAATATGTTTTGTAAACTTGAAAAATCGTTGTACGGATTGAAGCAATCACCAAGACAATGGTACAAACGATTTGACAAGTTTATGTTGAGGCAAAAGTACACAAGGAGCAAGTACGATCACTGTGTGTATTTGCGCAAGCTGCATGATGGATCTTTTATATATCTTCTTCTTTATGTTGATGATATGTTGATTGCTTCCAAGAACAAAGAGGAAATTGAGAAGTTAAAAACTCAATTAAATGGTGAATTTGAAATGAAGGATCTTGGTGAAGCAAAGAAGATTCTTGGCATGGAGATAAGTAGAGACAGAAAATTGGGAAGACTTTGTTTAACTCAGAAAGAGTATTTGAAAAGGGTACTAAAACGTTTTGGCATATCTGATGAATCCAAACCTGTTAGTACACCACTTGCTTCTCATTTTAAACTCAGTGCAAATTTATCTCCAAGAGATGCAGCAGAGAAAGCCTACATGTCTAAAGTTCCATATGCTAGCGCTGTTGGAAGCTTAATGTATGCTATGGTGTGTACAAGGCCTGACATTTCATATGCAGTAGGGGTTGTGAGCAGGTACATGCATAATCCAGGAAAAGAGCATTGGCAAGCTGTGAAATGGATTCTACGGTACATTCTGAACACTGTAGATGTTGGTTTGGTATTTCAGCAGGAACAAGATGGTCAAAATGTGGTTGGATATTGTGATTCCAACTATGCTGGAGATCTGGATAATCGTCGATCAACTACTGGCTATGTTTTTACTTTGGCAAAAGCACCGGTATGTTGGAGGTCTACTTTACAGTCAACTGTAGCTTTGTCTACAACAGAGGCAGAGTATATGGCTTTGACAGAGGCTGTGAAGGAAGCAATTTGGCTTCAAGGGTTGCTTGGTGAATTAGGAATTCTACAAAAGCATGTGAAGGTGCATTGTGATAGTCAAAGTGCAATCATGTTGGCAAAGAATCAAACTTACCATGCAAGGACGAAGCATATTGATGTTCGTTACCACTTCATAAGAGAGATTATCGAAGAAGGTGGAGTGGCTATCCAGAAGATAAGGACCACAGAGAATCCAGCTGATATATTGACAAAGGTAGTAGATTCAATCAAGTTCCAACACTGTTTGGACTTGATTAATATTATCAAAATTTGAAGACTGCATTGGTAGACACTATCAAAGATGAGAGATTTGAAAATATGAAATTTGCCAAGGTGGAGATTTGTTGAATATGGTGTGGCAAATTTAGTCCCACATCGAATAAGTTTTTTTTGATGTGGCCAAATTAGTCCCACATTGGATAGGTTTGGGAATGTGTAGTGCCTTAGGTTCTATATATAGAAACCCTTCCCTTCACTTTGAAATCATCCCAACTACAAGTTCATTTGTAACTTCTAAGGCTTGTAGTTTTCTCTTCTCTCTCTATTGTAATATTTCTTAGTGAAATATATTTGGTAGTGTCCGAGGAAGTAGGCATAATTGGCTGAACCTCGTTAAATTCTTGGTGTTCTTTCTTTCTTGTTTTGCTTTTGGTTTAAAATTTGCTAGACGTTTCCGCAACATAAACTGAGGAAGCAACTCGTGGAGTAAAGATCTAACATGAAAGAAGATAATAATATAATCAAATTCGTTGCCAGTTACGTTCAAATCAATACTGGAAATAACATTTTTCATCGTTTATGCACACGGCATAATATCATACGGTTGATTTTATTATTAAGGAGTTTCACATAAGTATTAGTAAATATTGGGTAGGTTAAACTACTTAACACGACTCCGAAAAAATTCATTCAATAATAAGAAATATGCATTAAAAAAATGTTACAAGTATCTTATCAGTGGTTTTATATATTTAATATTTTCCTTTGTTAGTTTCGTACCCACGTGAATCTTTATCATTACTCTTGTTCCTTTCGATAATACTTCTATATGTAACCACCAGTCACCACACAACAATATTGTATTGTTGCCCAAATAAAATTATGCGTGTACAATGGAATCTTGTTGACCTGTCCATGCATTTACGGTAAGCTAGCATCAGTATCTGATTGGTGCAACACAGAAATATCTTACTTGAGATTTATTGCGTTACATCAAAAAGAAAAATAAGTGTCTACAGCTCTACATTTTTCTCATTAAAAGGCACCTTCTATGAAAGGAAATTTTCTCTCCAATTATTTTGCAATGATATTATCTTCAATTTCGTAATAATTACATGTTTTAACATCATTGATGTTATCCTATATATATATATATATATATATATATATATAGGCTAATGAAGCTTTGGTTGCAAGAGGACGTCCGGTGATCCAGGCGAAAGGAAAGAAGAAGCGATCGAAGTCGAAGGCTAAAGTTGGGAAAGATGAGTGTGCCTTTTGTCGAGAAAAGGGGCATTGGAAGAAAGATTGTCCTAAACTAAAAAACAAAGGTCAATCTAAGACTGTTGCAGATTCAAATGTAGCTGAGTATGTTGATGACTCAGATTGTTCACTTGCTGTTTCTGGTTCAACCAGCTCTTCTAGTGCTTGGCTTCTTGATTCGGGATGCAGCAATCATATGTGTCCTAATCGAGAATGGTTCTATGATTTCAGAGAACTAGAAGAAGGAGTTGTTTATACAGCAAATGATGTTCCTCTTACCACACATGGGATTGGTTCTATTCGATTGAAGAATCGTGATGGAGCAATCAGAACTTTGAAGGATGTTCGTTTTGTCCCGAGTTTATCAAGAAATCTCATTTCTGTGGGAGCCTTAGAAGAGAAGGGTTTCACGGTGCACGCAGAAGGTGGAGTAATGAAGATAATCTCTGGAGCTCTGGTGGTAATGAAAGGAGTTCGGAAAAATAATAGGTTGTACTATTACCAAGGTACTACTATTATTGGAACTGCAGCAGTGGCATCCAGTGACGAGAAGGAGTTGGAGTCGGCCAAGTTATGGCATATGCGGCTGGGACACGCTGGTGAAAGATCCTTGAATTTACTCATGAAACAAGGATTGTTGAAAAATATTCAGGCTTGCAAATTGGACTTTTGTGAGCATTGTGTCAAAGGGAAGAAGACAAGGGTGAAATTTGGAACAGCTATCCATGATACTAAAGGTATTTTGGATTATGTTCATTCTGATGTGTGGGGACCTTCAAAAACAGCATCATTGGCAGGAAACCACTACTATGTCACCTTTGTTGATGATTTTTCCCGGAGAATTTGGGTGTATGCAATGAAGACTAAGGATGAGGTGCTTGGAATTTTCCTTAAATGGAAAAAGAGGATGGAAACCCAAACTGGGCGAAAGATCAAGCATTTTCGAACAGACAATGGTGGGGAGTACACGAGTGATCCATTTAAGAAGGCTTGCGAAGAAAGCGGCATTGTCAGACACTTCACAGTCAAGCACACACCACAACAAAATGGAGTGGCAGAACGCATGAATCGAACATTGCTGGAGAAAGTTCGGTGTATGTTGTCCAATGCTGGATTGGGCAAACAGTTTTGGGCTGAAGCTGTTGTATATGCGAGTCATCTTATCAATCGCCTACCATCAAGTGCAATTGGTGGCAAAACACCACTAGAGAAATGGTTCGGAAAACCTGCTACAGATTATGATTCCTTACATGTATTTGGCTGCACTGCTTATTATCATGTTAAGGAGTCAAAATTGGATCCTCGTGCAAAGAAAGCAATTTTCATGGGGATTGCATCTGGTGTAAAAGGATATCGTCTTTGGTGCCTAGAGACCAAGAAGACAATCATTAGCAGGGATGTCACCTTTGATGAATCTACCATGTTGGGAAAGGTGACAACAGAACAAAAGAAGAATGGTACTCCAAAACAGGTGGAGTTTGAAAGGAAGATTGTTTTTCCAGCAAATGATGAAGAAAAAACTCCTATGGTAGATGAGGAGTCAGATGAAGAAGAGGTTCATATCCAAGAACCTCCACAGCAACTTGAATCAATTGCATTAAGAAAGCCAAAGAGGACAACCATAATGCCTGCTCGTTATGTTGATATGGTGTCCTATGCATCTCCAGTTGCAAGTGATGATATTCCTACCACTTATATTGAAGCAGTCAAAGGTTCAGAAGAAGATAAGTGGAGAAGTGCCATGTCCGAAGAAATGGAGTCCCTTAGAAGGAACCAGACTTGGAAGTTAGCAAATCTTCCAAAGGGAAAGAAAGCAATTGGGTGCAAATGGGTATATGCAAAGAAAGATGGATTTTCTGACAAGTCAGAAGTGCGCTACAAAGCAAGGTTAGTAGCCAAAGGTTATGCTCAGAAGGAAGGAATTGACTACAATGAGGTGTTTTCTCCAGTTGTAAAACACTCTTCCATCCGTGTTCTGTTGGCTTTGGTGGCACAATTGGATATGGAACTGGTTCAAATGGATGTAAAGACGGCATTTTTACATGGAGACTTGGAGGAGGAAATCTATATGACTCAGCCTGAAGGGTTCAAGGTTGCTGGAAAAGAAAATATGTTTTGTAAACTTGAAAAATCGTTGTACGGATTGAAGCAATCACCAAGACAATGGTACAAACGATTTGACAAGTTTATGTTGAGGCAAAAGTACACAAGGAGCAAGTACGATCACTGTGTGTATTTGCGCAAGCTGCATGATGGATCTTTTATATATCTTCTTCTTTATGTTGATGATATGTTGATTGCTTCCAAGAACAAAGAGGAAATTGAGAAGTTAAAAACTCAATTAAATGGTGAATTTGAAATGAAGGATCTTGGTGAAGCAAAGAAGATTCTTGGCATGGAGATAAGTAGAGACAGAAAATTGGGAAGACTTTGTTTAACTCAGAAAGAGTATTTGAAAAGGGTACTAAAACGTTTTGGCATATCTGATGAATCCAAACCTGTTAGTACACCACTTGCTTCTCATTTTAAACTCAGTGCAAATTTATCTCCAAGAGATGCAGCAGAGAAAGCCTACATGTCTAAAGTTCCATATGCTAGCGCTGTTGGAAGCTTAATGTATGCTATGGTGTGTACAAGGCCTGACATTTCATATGCAGTAGGGGTTGTGAGCAGGTACATGCATAATCCAGGAAAAGAGCATTGGCAAGCTGTGAAATGGATTCTACGGTACATTCTGAACACTGTAGATGTTGGTTTGGTATTTCAGCAGGAACAAGATGGTCAAAATGTGGTTGGATATTGTGATTCCAACTATGCTGGAGATCTGGATAATCGTCGATCAACTACTGGCTATGTTTTTACTTTGGCAAAAGCACCGGTATGTTGGAGGTCTACTTTACAGTCAACTGTAGCTTTGTCTACAACAGAGGCAGAGTATATGGCTTTGACAGAGGCTGTGAAGGAAGCAATTTGGCTTCAAGGGTTGCTTGGTGAATTAGGAATTCTACAAAAGCATGTGAAGGTGCATTGTGATAGTCAAAGTAGGTGATACTGTCACCACAAAGCTCTTAGGTTGTGTCACCTTGGCTCTGTATGTGGCAGGACCATTTCCAACATTGGTCACTGTCCTCCTAAACTGGTGGAAAACTGACCTTGTTTTGTTGTTGTAGAAAGCTATGAAGGAAGGGTAGTTAAGATCAAAGGATGGTTTGAAACAGTTGTAGGAGGTTGATCTTGTGATGGTTAAGATTTGTTTTTTTGTGTAGTTCAAAGCACAAAGGAGATTAACATAGTCCTGTGGGGTGGCATCATATATCAAACCTGGATCAAGTGCTTTGTTAGGATCAATTTGACCAGCTCCAATGGCAAGAGGGGAAGCATATTGAGAAGGGTAACCATAGTCTCTAATTGGATTTTGAGTATTATCTAGAGGACTAGCTGTGGTTACTAGTGCAGACCTTATAGCAGCAGCACTCCATTGAGGGTGTGCAGCTTTCAAAAGAGCAACAACACCGGAAGCATGAGGGCAGGCCATGGATGTTCCAGACAACAAATTGTAGTCACTAGGTAAGATCACATTGGTGCTAATGGTGGCTGTTTCCAAATGAGGATTGAAAGCAGCAAGAACATTTGAGCCTGGTGCCATTATGTCTGGCTTTAAGACCCCAGGATAGCTAGGTGAAGGACCTCTTGAAGAGTAAGAGGCAGCAGCTGGTGCTGGCTTTATTCCAACAAATGTTTGTTGAAATTTGATGCTGGCTGTTGGCTTCTTTTGGCTTTTTGCATACTTGATCACGGATTGTGCATCCTGTGCACTGATTACAATGCTTGGAGATCTGCCAATACCTGTGTCATCTAATAAAGGGGAATCGGAGATAAACACTGCCCCTAACAAACTGGCTTTATCAGCAAACCACATTTGCTTAGACATGAACACTGTGTCTAACTTAGTGTCACAGAGAATGATCCCATGTGTGGCCACTTTGGATAACACCTTGACTGAGTTACATGCTGATATATTCTTGTTGTAGATAAGTGGAAGATTTTCCACTATGGCATTTGCTGGAAACAAGGTCCAACCAGCGATGGTTTGGCCATTTCCAAGAACTAGAGCACCAAATGTGCGGTCTATGGTGCCTGCAGCCACAGTGAGAAGCCAGGGGATTCCATTGTGCAAGGAACCAAAATCAGGACCATAGTTACCTGCAGAAGATGAAACCAACACCCCTTTTTCCATTGCTGCAAAAGAAGCAATTGCTATAGGGTCCTCATAAAGAGGAACATCATCAAACCCCATAGAGATGGAAATCACATCAACCCCATCAGCAATGGCTTGGTCCATGCCAGCCAAAACATCAGCGGCTACACGACCCTCTTCCCAAACAACCTTGTACATGGCAAGCCTAGCTTTTGGTGCAATGCCTCTAGCCACCCCTTTAGCATACCCAAAGAAAGAGGCTCCACTAACATAGTTGCCAGCAACTGTTGATGATGTGTGAGTTCCATGACCCTCAGTGTCTCTAGCTGAGTTCATGCTGAGTGTAACATTGGGATTTGCAGCAATCACTCCCTTGTTGAAATATCTAGCTCCAATCAGCTTGAAGTTGCACATGGAAGTGTTGAAATCTTGACCTTCTTCACATGTCCCTTTCCATTTGTTTGGAGTTGTTTTGGTCATGCCATCATCATGAATTTTTTTAGTTCTTAAAAAAATTAGTTTTAGTTTATGCGTTTAATTATAAGTAATGTGGTTTCAATTCCTTGTTGCACATATTTTTAATTCCTAGTCACATACTAAAATTAACCACGTCGATCCTTTTGTTAATATAAGGAATATATAATTTTTATAGGGACTAAAATATAAAAGATAAGGGTGATATTTTCAGGGACAAAAATACATTTAACTCAAATTTTGAAAATTAAACCATCCGTTACTCCTGACATAGTTTCCTTAATTCTCTTTTGTGCAAAATAAGAATAAAAAAGTGTAAATAAATATTTTGGGCAAAAGAAAAGCCTAATAAAAGTTTTTAAAACCTTGAAGGACTAACTGAAAAAAAATCTTAAACTAAGAAATGTAAGTTTAGAAATGTTTTCTCTACTAATTTTTTTATATATATTTTAATAGAGAAATTTTTAAAAATACTTCTGATTTCAACAAGTTGTGAATTATATACTATCCATACAATATTTAATAATTAATTTAAGGGTTTACTCTCGTTAGATCGATGCGTATTTTATTGATTATCACCGATAAAAAAGCGGTTTTCCAATTAGTTTTAGGGTGAGTGTATATTAATTCATTATTCCGAATAGAAAATCAATTTCTAAATCAGCTCTATTTTTTTAAACAGTACCAAAACAAATAGATACAAATAGATGCATAGCCAATTGATACAAATAAAGATCCAATAAACATCAAACAAATATGAAACGTCTCGCCGTAGGCCGATTGGTATCGCCGAATATAAGGGCTACTATGCGTGTGAGGCCGACTATAAACTTGTGCACTGCCTAGGCCGATTCACGACCTGATCTCACCCGAATGTAACCTTGGCCGACTCACCCAACTATAACCTTGGCTGACTCTCCCTCTCAGAGCCAGATACTGATCGACTCCCACCCATAAAGGCTTACTCGGTCATTATCCGATTGGACACTCAGTAAATGGCGAGGTCCCACCTACACTCACCAAGTATTTTCTAGATTGTAACGGCTAAAGAGATCTCCATATTCACGAGGTCCATAAAGCCCGTAAATAAGAAACTATAAAATCCAAAACCTTAGAGTTAAGAAGACATATTACACTTTTGAATGCTCTGGCTCTAAGGCACGATCTAGGAAAAAATCCTAGTCCACCCTTTGACCGGAACAAAATATATATTACAATCGAATAAATACAACACACACCTAAAAGCAATGAATAAACAAAATAATATATAAAACTGAGACTCTCATTCAACAGTGATCATTTATATTTATAATATAGTCCTGAACAACTCTGGTCACTGACTAACTTAGGACTAGTGCATGTTTTGTAGCCTTCCCAAGAATTGGCTAACAGCATAAAAAATGTGGAGGGGTGTAAGAGAATCATATCATTTATCAAGAAAAATAAACAAACTTAACAAAAAAAAAAAAAAAAAGACATAATAATAATAATAACTTGGTTCAGATCACCTACCATTATATTCACAATGATTGGAGTTGAGGAAAGACTGTAAGCTTACAATCGCTAATGCTCCATATATAACTGATGGAATAATGGCGATGCAAATGCAGTTGTCCTCTTGTGTGTTAATTACGAGGCTAGTATAATGGCGATGCAATTGCAGTTGTCCTCTTGTGTGTTAAGTACGAGGCTGGTATATTGTACAATTAGCACATGATTATACAGGACGTGATTCTAATCACCACTAAAAGTGTATCTGGATATACGTTTGAAAATCACTTAACGAAGAAGTAAAAAAATTTTGCTTCTTATTTTCACGTTTTTGATCTTGAATAGACGTAATTAAATGTGTGAAAACGTATTTCTAAACACACTATAAGAACGTGTTTGTATACACGTCGAAAACGTGGAAAATCACGTTTAACGTGGAAACTATTTAATAGTTTCCACGTTAAACGTGATTTTCCACGTTTTCGACGTGTAAACAAACACCTTATATGTATGATATTTCAAAATATTAAATTTTTCATTAATCTTATTTACTCCCAAAACTCCACCTTATCCACACGATATGACTAATCAACAACTGAAGTTTTAGTTTTTTTTTATATATAAATTTTTGTCTCCTTTCAAGAAATAGTAGGAGATTAAGAGTTATAAAGAGGATGTTGAAAACAAAATACAAGGTATCGGTTAAGATGAATGACGATATATGAATAGGTCGGTTACGATTCCAAAAAATTATTATTCTTGTTTAGATGAATCAAAGTTAGAAACAATTATTTTTACTAATGATGGATAATGAAATGATGAGATTGAAGTGGTTAAAGTGTATTATATCACAATTGAATATGTATTTATAGATATGTTAGGTGTTATAATTTTTATTGTTAAATATACATATGGAGATACCAACATATAGTTTATCATTTTGTATAATACTTTTTAGATAAACTTTTTAGTCAAAATATTTTATGAATGATCCTTTTTAAGATGTTTAATTATTTTTAGGATGATTATCTATACAAACAAAATAATTTTTTTTAATATATTTGTACTTACTTGTATATTTTTTAGAAATATTTTTATAAACGAACTCATCTCTAAATTATTTTTAGTCGTTAAACATGTTTAATTATAAATTTTTTTAATTAAATAATAAGTTATTAAAAAGTATATAATATTTTGTTACAAATTAATTTATTTAAATCATCATATAAATATATATAATCTCACATTTACAAATTTTTGATACCTCTCGTTTTGATTTTCGATGTGTCCAAGTTATTACATTATGTATTTTTCTAATAGTAATGTGACTCGTGACTTCGACATTTCCATTTTTATAGTCTCAGTTTTTGTGTAATTTGTGATTCTTTTTAGGTCCTTTGTTCTGATCTTGCAACTTCATTTAAATGTTGATTGTAACAATATTGTATTTTATTTTAATTTTTTTATTCATGTACATCGTTACTTAACAGTAAAAAATGGTAGATGCCCATAATCTGTCTCTTTGATGAAATAATTTGCAATTCCTCTGCATCTTTCTATTCACTTTTCTACTTTCTCTTCTTGCATAACCAGATGTTGCTGTCAGCTTAGCATTTAGTAGAAACTATATTTTCAATGTATTATTTAACGACACAGGATGTTTTATCAATTGCTGGTTTCTAAGTGAAAAATCATTTATTCTAACATAGGATTGATTTTTTTAATTTCTTTTTATTACAATTCTAAGATTTCCTCTTAGAATAATTTAGTTTAACCGAATGGTAAGTAAAATTTTATTAAAGATTATTTTTGTTAAGATTTGAATTTGAACACTGTCCAATCAATTCTATATTGAATTAAACATATTAATCGCTTGTAACTAATTTTTTTGATTTTATGTGTGTTTCTTTATTCATTAAGTATATGCTCTATATAATTAATCTATATGTTATTGGTTGAGCGTTTAAATTTAAATCCACGATAAGACTTTTTTTTTTTTTATTGCATGTGTTGGACAAAATTTTATGATGATATTGAAATTTCATTGGTTTCAAAACTATATTATGTTTTTAATTGATAGAGATAGCGTCTTGAATTGGCCATGCTGACTTAATTGTTACCTTTGATATAATTTCGGTAATCATACGTACAATACATCCATGCACTTATTGCACCTCACATGTTGTTACTTCCCTGTCACATGGTATGACACCCATGTCACAACAATCCATGAGTTCTTACCTGAGATTGGTGGGTGAGACGATTTATGGGAAAGATCAGTGAGTCTCCTCTACTTGGTATGTCTGCTGCTCTGAGTTGGGATTAGTACTTGTAAAAGAGATTCTAATACATAAGTTAGTCTTTGTGAGTATGAGTCTTATATATATAATGCACGTACCTTGATATAATTAGGGTTTTTCCCTTGTTAATAATAGAGTTTGTTAGAATATGATGAGATCTCCTTCTTATCAGCTTATTTTATTTGTTGGAGAGATGGCAGACCTTTCGAGTTGGCGTGGTCCAAGCCCATCGTCGTCACCATGCAATACATCTACGTCTAACAATCATCTTTTTCATCTTCAATTGTAGATTGTCATGGTTACTCAGCATTTTCATCATAATTTTTCATAGTTCATTGCTCAATCCTTACATCCACCACTATTCCTGATGAAGAACTTGCACTTGAAATTTGAATAATCACATTTCCAATATTGTCATTTCAATTTAGACCATACATCGCGAGACCCTTCTTGAGCTGTTATTTTTGTTATTGCCTTATGTCAACATATATACATGTGCAAGCTATAAGCCATATCCTACAATCATGCCTAGTTATATGTTAACAGAATCACTAGAATTCTTTATAATCAATATCCAAAATTAATTACTTTAATTTTACTCCTTTTAAATAGTTTGACCACCTCGATGCTTCTTCTAGCTTGCTGAATCTTCCAAATAAAAATATCTGTCCTTATTGGGCCATAATAAGTGTCCAGGCTAGGGTCCTTCCAGTCCCTTCTTTCATTTGGCCCAACTAAAAAAAAAAAAAAATATACATGTGCAAGCTATAAGCCATATCCTACAATCATGCCTAGTTATATGTTAACAGAATCACTAGAATTCTTTATAATCAATATCCAAAATTAATTACTTTAATTTTACTCCTTTTAAATAGTTTGACCACCTCGATGCTTCTTCTAGCTTGCTGAATCTTCCAAATAAAAATATCTGTCCTTATTGGGCCATAATAAGTGTCCAGGCTAGGGTCCTTCCAGTCCCTTCTTTCATTTGGCCCAACTAAAAAAAAAAAAAAAAGGCCCTGCTGTGAGTGTGAACATTTTCTTGTTTAGGTCACATCATGAGAGTGTGTAACCGTGTCAACATTTTAAATTTTTAAAACATTTTTTTTTTATTTGCCGTCAAATAAGACTATTTTTTTTTTGTTGAAAATTTGACCCTTTTTTTTTTATTTTAATCAAAGACAGATTAATCTTTCTTAAGATTTGACGGACACAGAAAAGACGTGCATCTTGTTTTAATAAAAACTTTTTTGTATTGACAAGAGTTAAGATACATGACCATTTTTTATTAAATGAGGTATCGTAAGTGTTTCGTTACTCGATATTCTCAAGTTTGTAATACATAGTTATATCATTTATAATACATAACTACTCACGTCTGTTTCCATAACTTATATTGAAGGTTGAAGAAAAATAAATTAATCACTAAAGTATTGTGAATTATTATTCACATGGACGAAGACAAAGTGAGCTTGCCAGCTTATAGTATTATGAGAATTTGATGATGCAATGAATGGGACTTTATGATTATAAATAACATAGCTTGTGCTAATGCATGGGTTTAATTTAATCTATGACACTGACTTTATGATTATAAATGATATTACTACAATTTCATTATTATCGTTGTATTTTAAATCTAAAGCAACCCAGACTGAAAGGAAAAAAGAAAAGAAAAGGCTTCTTTGGCATTTTATTATCATGTGATGATTATCTTAGCAACAGTGTTCTTGAGGTATCGGTTTTCTTTGGGGTCAATTTGGGTGTTCTTTTCATAATTGTGCCATTCCAACGTGAAGAATTAATTTTATAATGACAATGCGTGTTAGAGTCTTAGAGAGTTTGGGTGTTCTTTTCGAATCTTATTAGCAATAAAAGATTTTATTAAATGTTAATATAAATATTAGTAAGTAAAATTTAAAGATAGTGTTTGATTGAAGAATAAATAAATAAATAAATGAGAGAAGTTTTTATAAACTTTTAGTTTTTTTTTTTTTTTTTGTGCTTCTAGATTCGATTCTTATATTTGTTAAAATAATATTTAGTTAATGGAAGTCATATTTCGTAAATTGTTAAAAAAAAAATCTTCTTCGTCTAATTTTAAATTCCCTTAATATTGAGGATTTGAAGATGAAAAAAAAATTAAAATATTTATAATATAATA